GCTCTAAAAAAGAAAACCCGGCCACTAGTTCGAACCCAATCCAGAACAATGCGGCGCAGGATCCCGGGAAGGGAAGATGTAGTTAAGCAGGCTGGTAGTAATTTCCTTTAGAAGTGTGGTTAATCCAATCTCGCTAAGTGGGCCACGGGCATGCGAGAGAAAGGCAGACTCGTATGTGAACAGGACGCGTGCCGGAACATTCGGGAAATAAAGGACAAAGGGTCCTGACAGGATGAAAGGACAACCGACATTAGCGCACACCGCATAGTAATCGCGTCATCGGCTTCGTAAAGAATGAACTACCTTTTTGGCGAAGTTTCTTTTTTTATTCTTCAGGAACTGGCTTTCCCTTTCACTGACCGGTTAGACCATGATACCTGGAATTTGGGAGAATAAAATTGTACTATGCTATGTTATTGAGGGTATAAAAATATGCTCCTCATGGAAAGATAAAAAAAATTAGTGGGACAAATTTATTATCGAACCTGAAATTGGATAAATCATTTTAAGGATTATATTCAAATAGTTATGGCAAACTATCAGTACGTGGCGATTATCAGATTTTTGCACAATGCAATAATAATAGTAATAGTAATATGTCATTAACATTAGAAGTATGATGCAAATGGCGGAGTCTAGCCATTGGCCACCAAACCAATATTTTAAAATATAAAAAAGTCTAAATTTAGTGTGTATATATATATAATACTATACACTATAAAGATACTATATACGTAATCGTATTAAAAAATGCTTTGGGATCATCATAGCTGCCACGGTTTCCGACATTTAGGCCTGCGCGGCTGCTTCGGTATAGTGGAATAAGTAAAATGTTATATGCTTCTAAAATGTCACGTAAAGTATATTCAACAAAAATTTAACAATAATTTAATGCCACCGGCATTACAAGTTACACTCGAGTTTTTAATTTCGACCCGCAAAATCTAATGTATATACTCGTATTAAAAACAAGAGGGGCCCTTGAACTGAACCTTGTGGTACCCCTGAAGGAACATTCTGTAGATTTGAAATACTTGTGCCCAGAAGCACCTTTCTAGCTTTTCAAAAGGTCATCACCACTTGCATATGCGCATAGAAAAGCCATTGGTGGTTTGCTCTGTGTATACTTGGCACTCCAACATCTTGACATTTGACTGTGATGGTGTAGGACGACATCTCTGTGCTTAGCGTAGAACTTTTAGTGGTATGAGCTAGAGTGCGTAAGGGCCTCTCTATAGTCTTCATCGTAGGATATGATGATGAAAATTCAGCTATGGTGCACCATTTGTAGGTAGCGATCATCACATGTTTCAGCTTGCGCATAATAGGTATGAATATACCTGTGAGCAATTCAAAAATAGTTGTAGGGGCATAAAATGTACATTCAGAACGAGTCCTTTCATGGCCAGTTTGATATAACTTTCAATTTGTTATTCAAGAAAAACATTAATTTATAAAACTCCGGACAGTAAATCTCCAATATCCGCAGTGCTTCACGTCTAAAACGCTCAACGGTTTCTGCAAAAGCCTAATAGCTAGTCATTTTTTTGAGAAAAATGACCTTCTTTGAAGAGCTGTCCAGCAGCTTTGGATCAATCAATTGGCCTCATATTTGGCTTAATCTCTTGCTAAGGCATCACATTAAGACCAGATTTTGTTATATCAACCATGAAAATAGCGTCATCTAGGCTACATCTATTTTCGCCTTATAGTAATTCATATTTGAATAGACGCGAAAAAGGGAATTTTCCCACTTCGACCGTGAATAAAAAAGATACCCAACAGAATTTTTTATTCTTCGATACAGGGGGGGTTCTTCGTATACCACCACAAATATAATTCGATTGTAAAACATGTTATTAAACGGGGATGGTTTTTGACCAGTTAGATGGTCTGTATTGAATGGCTTGTCGTGTTGACTATGAATTATGAAATTTTCCGCGAAAAGCTAAACAATGTAAAGGTCTTTTCAAGAAGCTCACGTGTTACATTTAGTGTTCGCCATTGGATGTTACGATTTTAAGATCGAAACCGCATAGGCTCACACTTTTACCGCCATTTGAGAAAATATCTATCCTTGAATTTTAAATCAGCAATAACTGGCAGAATTTAACACCTGCGTTTCACAGTATGCTGTAAAAATTGTCGTCAGATATTTTTTAAAATCTGGAAGATTATCAACATTTGTGAAATTTGTATGGTTTTTGATATTGTAAAATTTTTTAAAGCTACCAAAATTTTCAAAGGTTTTGAATGTTCATAATTTTCACAAGTTTCAACATTTCATAAAGTGTAAAATATTAGCAAAAATTTCAAAATACCCAAAATTCACAAACTTTTCAGAAACTTTCATAAATTTAATATTTTTAAAATTGCCAAATTTTTCAGGATTTACAAATTTTATTGTTTAAATCCACAAACGCCGTGCATTCCTCCAGGAAAGTCTATAAATGTGGCGAAAGCAGTAAACCTCGATTCCATCAAAAATTATAAAAGCTGCAACGATTTTGCCGCTGTTAAAAGGTGTTTAAAACTAACACGCCTGGTTAGATCTTACACATCTACATTGCTGTAAAACGAACGGTATAAAATAAATGTCGGGTTTTTAACGGTGAAGGTACTCGAAAACCGGCTTTGCACTACATCATGGCGTGATGGCAAGCTTTGTTGTCTTTGCCATGTTTTAATCGTTCTACATTTTCAACAACTTTCAGATTTATAACGAGTTCACATAATGAGAGACTCAAAAAGAATATTGAATATGTGTTGCTATTGTATTTGATAATGAATCCTGTTCCATTGGATACTCTGAGATTTTCCTTTTTTCTTTTAATAGATGTACAAGTTATGAAAAAATTTCATGCTCGCTTATACAGGGTGCGGCAGAGAGGATGGACGGTTTTAAAAAATCATAAGATAGTTAATTTTTACTCGAAAACAAATTTATTGATGGAATTAGGTTCACAAGGAAATAGCATTTGAGACAGTCACGTGTGGAAAATCACATCAGGCATGTGGTGGCCGAAATCGTTGATGCAGTGCTGGAGGCGTTCTTGAAGGTTCGCGTAGACTCTCTCCAACATCGCTCTCTCAACTTGGACGACTTCCAAGCGAATTTCGCCCTTCAATTCGTCCAGAGTTCGGGGCTTGTGGCTTGTGAAAGTGGGCTTCGTCACTCATAATAAACAAAATGAGGTTCTCATTTTGATCGATCAGTGCTTCCATCTCACGTGCGAAATTCATTCGTTGTACATAATCTCCGAGCTGTAACTGTTGCACAATGGCCAATTTGTAGGGGTGAAAGCGGAGATTCATATGCAAAATTCGTCTTACCGGACTATCACTAAGGCGAAGTGTAGCAGCATGTTTTCGGGCAGATCGAGTCGGACTGCGAAGAAAGACCTGTCGAACGCGTTCAACATTTTCAGGAGTTCGAACTGTTCGCGTCGCTCCTCTTAGTCTTCTGTTGATCAGTTCACCACGCCTGCGAAGTGATTCAACCCAACGAAGGATGGTGTTTCGTGAGGGAACAGCTCTATTCCGATGAATGTTGAAGTGGCGACGAAACTCACGCTGTACGACGATGACTGACTCATTATTTCGGACGAAGCAATCATAGGCGAAAACGCGGTGCTTTACCGTCCAAGGCTCCATAACGACAAATGGTAAAATAATGCAAGGATCTCACTAGTCAAACGGCACCCTCCCCACCTCACTCTTAGACGGAGCCGGAGAGTACTATCCATCCCAAAAAGGTCCGTCCTCTCTGCCGCACCCTGTATTATCAAAATGTGAAAGTATGGAAATATGTTTTATAAGTAACACCCTAAAGTGACAACAGGGTCATTGTTCTCGGTTTCGCTTATTATTTTTTGACTACCTGTTTTTGCCTGAAATGTTTGAAAAATCAAAAAATCCTCTGTTTTTATCAAGGTAGCTGGATATACAGGTGGTTAAGGCATTTATTCTCAATGCTGCTTAGGAATTTCCTTTCCGATCTTCAATTTCCAATGGCCAGCAACATAACCAATATTTTAATAGTTTGTATTTTGATATGTTGAGACTATTATTTAGATAATTGTATATTTAAATAGATAATATGTCAAACTTTTCTGCTTTCCTAAGGTCTATCTAACGTTCACACTCGATATAGCAGGGTACGAGGAGTATGATCCTGACTTGTCTTTGGATGCGTAATCCGAAAATATCACAGGTTTCATTAAACGCTTCTACGTAGTTGCTCCCCGTTTAAGTAGATATTCTTGTACTGTTATTCCCTTGCCTAGGTTGCGCGATAATCCCTCCTAATTTCCGGCAAACCCGGAACTGTAGCATTTTAGTCGCTTCGTGTACGCGACCTTAATGAAATCATAACTGCGAATGGCTTAATCACTTCACCAAAAGCACCCGCCCAAACACTGTTCCACCTTAGCGCTATTTACGAGGGGGGTGTGAGAGGAAGAACTATTCTGACCTATACAGGGTGTTACTTAATGATATGCCGTAATTACCAGGGTAAATACCTGAATCACATTTCAATGAAAAGATACATATAAACATATATCGTAAAAGTTCTGGTTTTCAAGATACATTGTGTCAAAGTTTAAAAAAATGTTTCTATATTAGATAGATAGAGAGTATACCAGAGAAGTATACCAGCAAGCTAAAATTAATTATAAAATAAATATACAATTACAAACATTTTTATAAGCTACTAAGAATTAATGTGCCGTCACAATCATAAACAAGATCAATATATTTGTATTTAATTACAACAAGTTTCGATATAGTCAACGTTATCAATAAAATTATGTATAGTAGCAACAATGATGTACGAAAGATGTCTTTTAAGTTTTGAAAATGGAAATAAAACAACACGGTAGGTAGTTTTAAATGACTTTATTGTTTTTCGAAGTATTCTCCACGAAGATTAATATAAATCTGCATGCGCTCGAACCAATTTTCGAAGCACGTATTCCACTCGTTTGCTGGCAGATCCAAAACGGCATTTTTGAATGCGTCTACTGCTTCTTCTGGTGACTGAAACCTTTAACCATGCAGTCTGTTTTAATTTTCGGGAAAGTAAAGAAATCGTTAGGACTTAGATCGGGACTATATGGAGGATGGTCCAATAATTCCACGTTTTCTTCCGTTAAATACTGCCTTGTTTTTTGGGCTGTATGCGAGCTTGCATTGTCTTGATGGAGGATGATGACACAAATGTCGCGACCATATTTTTCGAAACACTTCGAGAAAGGATGACTTTTGTTGGCTTTTCTTCACCTTGGAACACCCAAACAGCCGACTGTCGTTTATTTTCTGGTTCTTAACAGTAAATCCAGGACTCATCACCACTAACAATGCTGTACACATTTTGAGTTTCCGGAATTGAGACGGTCAAGCGTTTTTTGACACCAATTAACCCTGGCTGCTTTCTGCTCTTCAGTCAACAGGTGGGGTATCCAACGAGAAACTAATTTTCTTACTCCTAATTCTTCATGTCACCCTGGGATCGTCGCTACGACTCACCCGTCCACGTTTGAATTCTTCATACCAACGGGAAATTGTCGACTGATGTGACGCTTCGTTGTCGAAAACAGACAGTAACTCAGCAAGGTCTTCTTGTTGCAATAATTGTCTGTTGTAATGAATTATGGCGTAAAAATGTTCTCGGTTGAGTTCCATTTTTCTAATGACTTGGTGACACTTAAAAATTCACTGTAGTGAGAACACTGCACGTATTGTTGTGAAACTTTGAATTTAAGTTTACTAAAGAGTGAGGTTAAGATTCAGTACTGACGTTCGGTCCGCGTGGCCTACTATGTTTCTATATGCAAAACTTAAAAGACATCCCTCGTAATACCCTGCAGTACAAAATATTCTATATTTACTCTAGAGTAAGTCTATCCTTATCCTCAAAAAAATCATTCAATTAATGAAGTGACCAAATAATTAGCTATAATCTTTTTAACTTTGATTTCTGATAAATTACGGACATTTAAATGAAAACTATTGAAAATTTTTATAACAGAGTATGTAGCATTTTTCTATACATATAAAACTAAAGTTACTTTTATGTGAAATAAGATCTTCACTGTGCCTAGTCATGTCATTATGTTTATTTGTAGCATCGTCAAACAGTTTGTAAAAACAAACATAAACGCGTACAATTTACAGCACTATTTCGGTAAATAACTTATCATAACTTTTTGTGCTGCCCTGTATACACCAACTGACCGAAAAATCTTATTTTCTCGTATTACTGCAACAAAAAGGTTTACTTACTAATAGTTTTCGAGATATTTGTTTTTAAAAGTTCCAATGCATTATTTGAAGAATCAAAACCCTGTTATTTATATCCAGCGAGCTGCCCCAGAAGATCTGACCATCTCTAATTCTCGACTGGATAAACGCGTGGTACCGTCGAGACCAAAATCATTCCTAATCACTCTCAATGTATAGCAATACCTAGGCACACCCAATGCAACATCCTCAACGTGCGCCCTCCAGTCCAGTCGCTTGTGAATCCTAACACCCAGAAAAGAGTCTGCTGTCTCAATCTCTATGTTTTTACAAGAAAAAGAGATAGCAGCAACCGTTTTATTTCCAAATAATGTACACTGGGTTTCAGGCGCATTAAGACAGAGATCATGAGCCGAAACATATTCACGTACGGATATGACAAAAAAATTAAAATGACGTCAGTTTGATCTGATCGACGCATCTTTATTCATTCATGTCATTTTTAAAACGTAAAGAACGGAAAATAATAACAATTTGGCAAAGTATTTACAAAAAATGTTAGAAATGACTAGCTACCGCTCCTTCGCATGCTTTTGCATTCATATTTTAATAATTTTCAACACGCTTCTATAACCTTGACCTGTATGTATGTATGTAGCGGAATCTTTTTCGTTTTCTAAAGCCTATTTTAATTGGGTATTTTCACTCGTAATGCGCCTTAGCCCAAATATTTTACACGAGTTGTTTCCGAGATGTAGAGCCCCCGAATTCAGCAGTTTGTATATTACAGCGCATTGTGCGACGGTAGAGGAAATTGTGATAGTTTTTTGATACTTGATACACCATGGCACTGTTCATCGTCGAGGATTCGATCGCATGGAAAGAACGGAAGTAAACCTACCTGATCTATTTACTCCTACAGCGCTTAGTCTCAGACCTGAGCGCTTTTCGACATCGCACTGCAGGTTTCCCGCATGGAGGGAAGAAAACACGCAACAAAAACCATTAGATCCTTAAATCTACGGAAATCCCGTATTTCTTCTCATCGACTGATTGCAGGTTTCTCCCCCAAAGCTGCAAAACTTTTGCGTGTCACTCTTGGGAGATGGAGGTGTAATCAATGTAAGAACAATGGACTGACAGGGGTTTTCACCCCCTCGGAAAAAGCCGACACACGGCCATTAACTTGAGGGAGGCTGATCCTTGCCGCTTGGTATACCGGGACAGGCTGAGAAGTGCTTAGATCAATGCTAAAAACTAGAGATTACGGATCCCGCGCTGTTATCATTTTTTCACAATAAATGTGAATGTCGGTAAGCATCATGTCTGAACCAGGATAGGGAAAGATGTAAAAGTTGGTATTATTACTAATTAATACTCGATTAAGATTATAGTCATGGTTTTATCCGTGAACTTAGCATCAAGCCGGTAACAGCGCGGCCTGCCATTTAGGTTGTTTCTTATGATTTGCAGATGTTTTGTTAAGCCCGAACGGTTGCGGTGCCTATGAAAACAATAAATAGCTAACCAGCGGCCGCTATATTGGATCTATAATGTTATCACTTCGGTTATTATGTGTTCCTCATCAAGCCCTTTCATTTGATATCCATAGTGTATGGATGATGGCTAACTATGGAAATTATAATTGCCATTTTTCGGTCGCCGTCATATTGGATTTAGAATGACGTCACTTTGCTTATTGTGCTTGCCTCATCAACCCCGCTCATTTGATATCACGGAGGTTACTACGGAAATTATAATCGCCATTCTGCGATGCCGCCATATTGGATTCAAAATGTTATCGCATTACGCTTTTTAAGTTTCTCTCATAAAGCCCTTTAATTTGATACATATACCATAGGGGAGACTACGATAATTATTAACGCCATCTTGGACCTGCCGCCATATTCTATTTGGAATGTCGTCACTTTGCTAATTGCGTTTCTGCCATCAAGCTCATATTATACGGGTTACTATAAAAAACTTAAATCGTTATTTTGCTGTGGCCGCGATATTGGATTGCTAGCTATGAAAAATCTAAACCGCCATTTTCCCACAGCCGCCATATTGGATTTAGAATGACGTCACTTTGCTTATTGTGTTCGTCATCAACCCCGCTCATTTGATATCACAGGAGGTTATTATGGAAATTATAATCACCATTTTGCGGGGTCGCTATATCGGATTCAAAATGATATCGCGTTTCTTTCATAAAGCCCTTTAATTTGATACCTATACCATAGGGGAGACACTGATAATTGAAAACACCACCTTGGGTCCACCGCCGTATTGGATTTAGAATAACGTCATTTTGCTTATTGTGTTTTTCTCATCAAGCCTCTTCATTTCACATCCATATCATAGTGGTAGCAATGAAAAATCTAAATCGCCATTTTGCCTCCGCCGTCATACTGGATTTAGAGTGATGTCACTTTGCTTATTGTGTTTGTTTCATCAAGCCCCTTAATTTAGAAGTTACTATGGAAGTAATGAATCGCCATTCTGTATCATCCGCCATATGGGATTCGAAATGGCGGCAGTTAATTCTTTTTGTATTTTCACGCGAATCAAGTGTGCGTTCAAAGGTCCAGCTCAATAAGGTTAAGGTTAACAGAAGTACAGCGCCGGAGAGGGTTTATTAGTTACCTAGTAATAGCTTGTGGCCTAATTGCCAGCCTTCACCTCCACACCGCTCCTACTACTACTGGAACACCGTGTACACGAACTCAAATGCAATAGTGCCCTAGTTGGTAGTATATGTTTACCATCTTCAAACAGAATATGCGTAGTTCAAGCTCCCTCGTAATGCTTATCGTGCGGATTATCGAGTAGCTTTAACATTTTCTGATTGCCACATGTACCAAACATCTTTTACAGTCTTCTAATAACCGCATATTATGCTCCAACTAGTGTTGTGTGTCTCATAATAGGACCCGTTCCAACGTTCCTATTTTATCCACCGTTTCGAAGCTTTAGTCCCAAACTTGGATCCAATACGAATAACGAGTACTGTATTTTAAATTGTATTCGAATATTCAAGATTCGAATACAAGGGAAAAAGTATTCGAATACCGATGTTTTGAATACCTGGACTGATTTAAATATGAGAACTTTTTGAACATTCCAACAAAAAAAATATATATGCACACTTTAAACTAGATCTTTATTTGTAGTGTATTAAGTTATAGAAATACAAAATAAAAAGACATGATATTAAATGAAACTTGAAATGACATTTTGATACGCACTGTCACAGTGGGGTTTGACAAATTAATTGTATAATAAAAAAATTTATTTGAGTTTTATTAGATTTTTATAGATCGACAACCACCGCGAACGTGTTTCAACACGCAAGTTGCGTGAAGTGTAAAGTAGTATCCACAGGAATAGCCGAACAGTACAGGATTCGAATACCGGGATTAGAATACATAGTGGGTACTCGAATAGTGGGATTCAAAAACGGTATTCAAGATCCAGAATACCTAGTAATGACCAAAAAGTATTCAATCGAATACCAAATACCAAACACACAAATGTATTCGAATACTAGCTAAATGTATTCTGAATAGGATTCAGCATAAGAAGTATTCGAATACTACTCAAGTCAGCTGAGCTTGCGTTGCCGGTCCACAAAAGAAATACGATGCGGTAGAACTGTCTTTGCATTTGCGTTCACAACTCTAGTTCTAACATATCCTATCTCACATGGTACGTTGTAGCTCTTCAGCACCGTTGATTTTCTCTCTTTGTACATTCTCGGATATAGTGGGTCTATTATAGTCGGAGTTCGCAGCCTTAAACAACGCATGGTAAACAAGGATGCGATCCAATTCCTCGCGTAATTCGGATGTAGTTTAAATTGGAATTTTCTATGCGCACTTCCGGAATTCATTAGCGCACGTCGCTAGGGCATTGGCGGAACCTTTCAGGATGTTGAATCCACAATTACTGAAGACTCAGGACTGGCCAAATATTAACTAGCGGATGAACCCTGAAGTAATAAAAAAGTCAATTGTAAAGGTGCACACTTGAGCGGCGCGAAATGGCACATGTCAACGTAGCGGTGCCCCGTCTGAGGTTTCAGTGAACGGAGCTCGCGTACCTTGGGAAAATATTGCTAAGGATCTCGGGGTCAGTTTTGACAAGGGGATGAAGCGTTAAAAACAAAATAGAACCCCAAATTAAGTTTGATCAACAGAGTTCGGGTATCCAAAATGGTTATTAGACAATCGATCACTTGCGCATGTGCTGCTTGGTGTTTTCTCGATTTTGCGTAATCTGCTGGGTTTGCATAATAGAACCTTGCGTACAATCACTAACGCCCCATGGTATGTCTTCAATGAGACCCTTTACAGCGACCTCGACGTCCCTACATCAAACAAGCGCAGCTTCGTTATAGCCAAGCGGATTTGCATTGCAACCCATTGTTCAGCAAGTCGGTAGACTACACAGTCAAAATCGCAAGCACACGAGGCCGCGGCTCGCACTGTAAATAAAATTAAATCGTGAAACTTTAGGTCCAACCAAAATGATATTTGTTCTCCAACAACCAATGTTTAAATCAGTTTTAAGATCAATCTAAAATTCCTGAATACTAATTAACAATCCTAAGGCACTCCCCAAACTGAGGCACTTCTTTTTCTTTACTCTCCCTCATTTATTCCTTCCGTTCTTTATTTTTCCCTTCGTTCTCCCTGAGTTTGTCTGTATCTCGGTAACCAGACTTGACAGATCTGTTGAGAAAAGGTTCTATGGACCGCTCTGACAGACAATGTTGCTTATGTTGTGGTTGAATTTTAATTTTTTGACTTTCCAACGACCGTAGACTCGAAAACTTGAAAATGGATGAAACGGGATATTAATGCACAATCTGGCAACCATGTCGCAGCCTCACAAAATGGCCGCTGACAACCACACAAGTCACCGTGTTGTAATTGAATAGCATGGAATTAAACCTTCTTCAGAGTATATGCTTTGTGACTGGGACCAAGGGTTGACAGATCCCACACATGTGTCACTCGATGAGTCTTGAAATGTAATATCAGCTGTATTCAAATAATGTCTAATATAAATATAACCTAGAATGTGTACTCGTGAAAAAAGAAAACTATGGCAAATTTGTAGTCTGTTTGCAGGTTTTAGGTTTGCTGGTAGCTTTAAGGCATATATTTGGGAATTTCTTAGTCGCTGTGAATATAGTGTGGATGTTTGTTCAGTTCCTGAACAACGAAAAATATTCAACTTTATGGATGTATAGATATCAAAAGACCTGAATGGTTTTGTGGGAATATCAATCTAAGGTGCCATAATGGTTCTGATGAACGGCAAGTAAATGAATGAATGTTTGGAAACGAGCAATATCTATGAACTTTTTGGTAGTGCCTGTCATCAAGTAGGTGCTTAATGGCTATCTGCAAGAGGTTTATAGGAAAAAAAAACACGGGAGGTTATGTTAAATCAGTAAAATTGCATATCAATTGAAGAAAAGAATATAAACATGAATAAAAAATCAACAATACTAATTAAAACATGAATTTAATTCAAAAATCAAATATTTCTTTAAATTATGACTGAATTATATGTAATTTCCAAATATTCAATAAGCTGGTGATGTTTCAATGACAAGATGTCATCGCATACTTTGACAGAATTTTGTTTTCAACATTTCATAGCTATTGGTTGCTAAAATTTGTTGATTGGAACTTTAAGCTCATTCGTTGTATTTAACGGACTGTTACCCTATAGGTGGAGAATATCGGACTATTGATTTGACAAACTTGGTGCAACCCACCCTTAGTTAGTCAAAAAGGCTCATATAATTAAAATTCGATTATTGAGTATGCTTCTGGGGCTCTTTGGGATTTGGCTATCTGAAAAAATATGAAACCCCTCGTTCTTTAAGTTTTGAAGGCAGGTATGCTTCCACACAAAGTTATCTCTTGCCGATGGATCGCTCCCTTTCCCTGAGAAAAATTCCCAATTGTTCACCCCTATTTTTTTTCAAAAATGATCAGGATCCCAGGAACGGTAAAAAACGAAATTTTAGCGATATTTATTTTTCCCCTAGTTCCGCGCCACGGGATCGATTTTCAAAAACTATAAAACTTGTTCGTCCTTGGCATAGTAGTAACCTTGTGTGAAACTTCATCAAAATCTGATTGGAATTTTCCATCAAGGATTAGCGGGTAGGCAGAGAGACCGACGGTTTTTCGTGATGTAGATGTCATAACATCAAAAAAATATAATTTCTCATTTTGCGATGTTTTATTATACACAAATCACAAGCGAGTTCCTCTAAACAGTTTTATTCTCTTGAATGCTTGTCGTTTTTTATGTTTTTCAACCCATTAACCAGAATTGCAGTTGCCGTTTGAACGAAAATTGTAAATGACCCGCCGCTGATGGTTCAAGCATGCTCCCGATTTACGTTTTCTCCTAAAATGCGGTGCCTGCCACCGAACAGACACTCCGACGGATGTAAAATGAAGTTGCAGCGCGCGGAAATTCTCTCGCATAGGAGTGCAAACAGGATTTTCGGAGTTCGCCGCACCGGCTGGACAAAACTGCATGGAGGATCGTCAAAGCGATGTGGTCACCATTGGGACGTCCTTCGATTGGATTAACGACGATTTTAGCGATCCGTTGTCTCGGTTGATAGAGAATCAGGAGACTTCAGGGATTGGAGTAGCGTCACGAAAACGTACAATCGGATGATACAGGGTGGATCATACGAGTAGACAGGTTGCTTCTTTGACAGTCTTCGAACAAGATCATTACCACAATTTTTAACACGCTTTTATTTTTGGATCTATTGTTAGAACAATTTGAAGAAGTCTGATTGACTTGAAAACTTGCACAGGCGTCAAGGGCCGATGCCAATACAGTAATCTTGGAAAAATGAATGAATTTGAAGTTTTTTAAAAACTGAATTTTGATATTTGGAAAGAAATTGGATTTGAAAATTCGTAAAATAACCTTAAAATTATTTAAATTACAGTGGACCCCCGATAATCCGGCGCCCCCTGTAATCCGACATGTATTTGAATGTGTATTATATACATACGTATTTGACAAACTTCGCTAATGTAGATCACGCAGATTTGAACAGGTTACAAATTGTACGCACCAACGCTATCGTGCTCGACGCGTAAGCACTGTTTTATTTAGTTTGAATTTGACTACTGGTGATAGCGGTACGGCCTAGCATGCGTTCATTGTTTACTATTTATTCATTGTGTATTGAGTATAGTACCTAGTAATGTCATCACAAAGTGAGAAGCGAAAGCACAAAACATTGACAATTTAAGAAAAATGTGATATTTTAGACCGCGTAAATCGCAATGAAACTTTCATCAGTTAATACGGCGTAGGCCGATCTACAATTTATGACATTAAAAGAAACCACGAGAAGATCAAGAAGTTCGTGTCAACTACTGACTGCGGGCCAGGCAAGAGACAGGCACTCAAGAAAGCTGAACATCCAGAAGTGGAAGAAGCTTTGTACATGTGGTTGCTTCGGGAAATAAATAGGCATGCACCGATTTCAGACACTATGTTGGCCATGAAAGCTAAGTTTTTTATAAGGAAATAACAAAAAAAGATGATTTTGTGGTCAGCAAAGCATGGCTAGAACGTTTTAAAAGTCGTCATGGTATACGTTTAATGACTATTACAGGAGAGAAACTTTCTAACGATGCCACCTGCATAGAGCTCTTTAAATTAAGGTTTTTACAAAAGGTGAACGATTTACATCTAGACCCGTCACAGGTGTACAATGCAGACGAATCAGGACTTTTTTGGCGTGTGATGTCTAACAAAACTTTCGTTTCTGGTAACGAAAAATCCGTACCTGGACGAAAAGTAAGTAAAGAGCATGTAACCATACTACCATGTGCTAACGCTGCGGGCACACACGCGCTTAAGATGATGGTCATTGGGAAATCTAATAAACCACGGGCATTCAAAAACATTGATTTACCTGTACACTATTACGGACAAAAAAAAGTGCATGGATGACAAAAGACCTTTTCAAAAAGTGGTTTGATGAATGCTTCCTACCTGAAGTTAGTAAATGGTTAAAAGATCATAATTTTCCTCGAAAAGCGTTGTTGCTTCTTGATAACGCTCCCGGTCATCCGTCTGAAGAAGAACTAACACCTGAGGATAAATGCATCACTGCGATGTTTCTTCTGCCAAATTGCACTGCGCTGATTCAACCAATGTAACAGAATATCATTCAGTTTGTCAAGCAAGACTATAAGAAAAACCTACTTCTGAGAGCCGTATCAAAAGATCAACCAATAGAAAAAACTTTAAAAGAATTTATTATGAAAGGTTTGGTTTTTGCTCTTTGTCAGTCGTGGAATGCGTTACCGTCATCAACTATTAAATCGTCTTGGAAAAAGTTATGGCCAGATTAGTCACCACTCCTAGCAACGTTCCACCAATCAGTGTTACTTCGGAAGTTATAGAACAAGTCGCTACTGAAACACAGATAAGTCCGGAAGATTTGGAAATCTGGTGCTGTGGAATGGATAAAGATGAAAATGTTTGACGAAGAGATTATGAAAGAGGTTTCTAATTATACAACAAACAATCAGGAAAATAACGACGACGTGATTGCAACTGCTCTACAAGTCACAGAACAAGACGCAATTAACGCCTTTGAGCTAGGTTTACAATGGGCTGAAGAGAATGGTACATCCTACAACGAACTTTTACTTTTGTGAAGACTGAGGGACAAAGCTCTGATCTCGCGTTATAACAACCTTAAACAAAAAAAAATTGATGAATATTTCCAAGCTTCATAATTTAATAAATTCATTAATGATTTTGATTAATAATTCTTCATTATTTTGGTATATATGTATGTGCATTTATGCTTGATTTTATAATAAAACCTAAGCTCTCTATTGTTATTTAATTTACTAAATTCGACATACATAAACTATGTATGATTTGTACTACAAAGTACATACATATACATAACATATATGTATACATAATCTTACCACTGGATATGTAATTTGTCGGATTACAAGGTACTCTTTTGTAAAAAATTCCGAACTATAGGGGGCCTTAGGCAGTGCTCTATAATCCGACCAATTTGATAGTCCGACACTGCCCTGCATAATGTTTGTCGAATTCCGGAGGTTCACTGTATTTGCAAATTCGTTAAATATTTTGAGGATATGTGGAAAGTTAGAAAAATTTTGGAAATTTCAAAATTTGAAAAAATATACCAAAAATATCTCGAATAAGTATTGTAGTGAGATTAAAAATTCATAAAACGAATATTAGTTTACAAAACGCATTTTTATTACACTGCCACGCAAAATTAACCGGACAAACAAAATTTTGTTCAAATTAAATTTGAAATAGCTTTTTAACCTTTACATCGTTAATTTTTCCGTCTAGATGTAGGTAATTTCATTATCATTATCGACTTGCAAAAAAATTTAAAATGTTTGTCGTGATACAGGGTGTAGCTAAAATGTGCATTTTGAACACCCTGTGCAAACATTGTTTTACTGAATAATTTATCTTCGTATGAGAATTGTAAGCCCCAACTTTTCTCAGAAGTTCTTGTTTTGATTCATATCAACATCTCAATTAGAAACAATTTAATTTAAATAATTACAATGGCAACATTGGTAAGAAGACTATGCGAATCATAACCACAACCAATTTAACCTAAGAAATTATAGTTACATTTGCAGTTTGAAATTCTCGGTAGTTCTGTCTAAGCCTTCTTCCTAATGTATCCCACATGTGCTCAATTGGGTTGAGATCCGGACTCATTGGCGGCCAGTAAACAAGACTCGTCTGTAAAAATAATGTATTTCCAGTCGTCCATATCCCAATCTGCATGAGTTTCAGAGAAAACCATGCGCTGCCTTCGTTGACCTACATCCAATAGAGAACCTGTAGCAGGTACACAGGATGATAGGTTTCCTTCTCTCAACCTTCGGGGTACGGTATCAGGTGAAACTATGCTACCATGAACATTATCCAGTCTTCGAGTCAAAGCTGTAGCAGGAACTGCCCTTTCTCGAAGAGCTTGAAGACTCAGAAAGCGATCTTCAACTGCGTTTGTTGCTTTCCATCTTCTCTGCCCAGGTCTTCTTGAGTATTAACCAGTTTCTCTAACTCTTTGTATCGCATCGAATACCGTACTGCATGGAACGGCAAGCCTTTCTGCGACATACCGAATAGGACGACCATGATCTTGTAAAGCTCTAGCTTGCGCTACTTGTTCCGGTGTCATTTTTATTCAGTATTACTTGACAATAATCTTTTTGACATGCCATGGAAATGCTAACAGACACAGCCTACTTGAAACAATTTCTTGTTTGTGTCTGATTCGCATGATTTTCTTTGAAACAGCATATATTCTTCAATAATTGAGATATTGACATGAATCAAAAAAAGAACTGTTGAGAATAGTTGAGGCTTAATATTTTCATACAAAAACACATTATTCAGTAATCCAGTGCTTCCACAGGGTGTTTAGAAGTTTAGGGCAAAATGCACCTTTCAGTTACACCTTGTATAACAACAAACATTTTCAATTTGTTTGCAAGATCGACAGTCGATAATGATGAAAATGAAATTACCTACAATTTGACCGAAAGTTAACGGTATTGATGCAAAAGTTAAAAAGTTATTTAATATTTAATTTGAACAAAATTTTGTTTGTCTGGTTAATTTGGCGTGGCAGTGTATTAAGTATTAATTTTTTTTAGATAGATCATTATTTCTTTCACTTGTAATTACATTATTTGCGTAGTGTTGCGAAATTCTAGTGAGTAACTTGTAGACTTGTAATACTTGTAGTGTGTTACATATAGTGTTACAGGTGCCAGACAGGGTCAAAGAATAAAATACGAAATAAAAGATCTGTAATTAGATTTCAACTTGACAATGTTTTAGTTTCCCACTGTCCTAATACGCTATCTCTAACAAGCTACATAACCGCCATCAGTGAACATTTGCGTCCTGGGTAGTTTTGGATGGCCGTCTTAAGTAGCCCTAAAAATTCTGCGCAGTAAAATGTCAAAAGGACGACACTTATTTTCTCAAACCATAAAGGTAGAGCATATCCATTTTGGTAATAAACGTTCTTTTACTACAGCATAATAAAAAAAGCAGTCCTCTCATGTACTCAATTATTCATGTTTATCTCTAGCCGAGGCAGAAGGTCCTCGCATTATATGAAAAAAAGCACGGCCACATATCGCGCGGAAAGATCTTTATGCGTTATTTACGTTTTGTGAGTGGTAATAACAATACTATTTTGAGGAATATTTCCGTCATAAGGAACCGTGACTGCTCAAGGGGATGGAACAACCCCATGGTAACCTGTTGCCGAAACTGGGTCAAATATCCTGCCATCTGATGCTTTTCTGCGGGCGCTTATTGAAATGTTTATTTTGTGCTAAACAGGGTAAATGTGTTTATTTGTATACGCCGTAGTTTCTTGTGCTTAGCTGTTTAGCTAAGGAACCAGTCGTTGATTTTCATAGTCTTTTCTTTCTTTCAAAGGATATTTCTTGATTTCTGATGTTTTGTGTCATCGTCAGCGCTCTCCTATTGTAAAGTTATGTTTTCTTTTTGAATTTTGGAAATTTCAGGCTTGATGATATAAATCAAAAGCACGATCAATGTGATGCAAATAGATATTGGTGACATAACCACAGAGTATTAAACAGAGGCGACACACTGTCAAAAATCAGGTTCTACGAGGGATGTCTTTTAAGTTTTTCATATGGAAATAAAACAACACGGTAGGTAGTTTTAAATGACTTTATTGTTTTTCAAAGTATTCTCCACGATGATTAATACACATCTGCATGCGCTCGAACCAATTTTCGAAGCACTTATTCCACTCGTTTGATGGCAGATCCAAAACGCCATTTTTTAATGCGTCAACTGCTTCTTCTGGTGACTGGAACCTTTAACCACGCGATCTGTTTCTAATTTTCTGGAAAGTAAAGAAATCGTTAGGACTTAGATCGGGACTATATGGAGGATGGTCCAATAATTCCACGTTTTCTTCCGTTAAATACTGCCTTGTTTTTTGGGCTATGTGCGAGCTTGCATTGTCGTGGTGGAGGATGATTCTTCTTTCGGGGTTGATTTTTCGAAGCTCGGTGATGACTTTTGGCAAACAAATGGTGGTATACCAATCCGCAGTAACGGTTCTTTGGTCATGAAGAGGAATTGTTGCAATATGACCCGCTTTTGACACAAATGTCGCGACCATATTTTTCGAAACACTTCAAGAACGGATGAATTTTGTTGGCTTTTCTTCACCTTGGAACACCCAAACAGCCGACTGTCGTTTATTTTCTGGTTCATAACAGTAAATCCACGATTCATCACGACTAGCAATGCTGTACATTTTTTGAGTTTCCGAAATTGAAACGGTCAAGCGTTTTTTGACACCAATTAACCCTGGTTGCTTTCTGCTCTTCAGTCAACAGGTGGGGTATCCAACGGGAAACTAATTTTCTTACTCCTAATTCTTCATGTAAAATTTTTTGAATTGAGGTCTTTTTTTGGTGCACCGACCCTGGAATCGTCGCTAAGACTCACCCGTCCACGTTTGAATTCTCCATACCAACGGGAAATTGTCGACTGATGTGGCGCTTCGTTGCCGAAAACAGACAGTAACTCAGCAAGGCATTCTTGTCTTTGAAAGTTGTAATAAATTATGGCGCGAAAATGTTCTCGGTTGAATTCCATTTTTCTAATGACTTGGTGACACGTAAAAATTCACTGTAGTGAGAACACTGCACGTATTGTTGTGAAACTTTGAATTTAAGTTTACTAAAGAGTGAGGTTAACATTCAGTACTGACATTCGATCCGCGCGGCCTACTATGTTTCTATATGCGAAACTTAAAAGACATCTTTCGTATCAACGCCAACTTGAGTCCTATGCGTATAGTGGGATTCGTGTTGCTGTGACATTTAGGATTTCGGATAATCGACATCGACTTCTATCAATACTATATATAAATAGCTTTTCAAGAATTAATAACTATGTCGCCAAAATGCATGTGGGTAAATGATAAACACAAATAAATTTCGTGATTATCTTGTTTGACATAATGACATTCGTAACGTCTTGCTCATAACTCGTAACAACCCTTAGGAAAAAATCCTCCGGACGCTAATGAACATAAGCGGAAAATGTGGTGAGCAGTTGGGGACACGAAGATCAAAGGGACCGACAGCAGGTGTCGCACCTGAATAATCTGTGACATAACCTCAAAATAGAGAGATGACACGGAACAGTAGAAAAGTATGAAAATCAAGTAGGCTATAAAGGCGTCCTACAATATTGTAGGAACGACTGACGATAAGGCCCTAAGTAGTGCTACTTAGGCTAATGACATTGTGGATGCGGTCCCAGTTTTGTTATAAGTCTGAGTGAGCCAGCCTTTTAGGAAAATTCCGAGTATTTTCGTCTATACAGCCTAAATTTCCAGTTACAAATGACATTTACCCGCCAATTTTCTATGTGGCTAAAGTCAGCCCAGCTTTATCTAAAATACTACAACCTGATTTTCTAAAAGGCTGAAACCATCCGTTTCTGAGCTAAAAAGCTGGGAAGAACCAGTCAATAACACAACAATACAACCATTAAGAGAACAGTGGATAATATAAAATCAAATCAACATTTTATATAAGCACCTACTTCCTTAATATAGTATAGAGTATTTTCAATACTTCACGTGAGGGCTAGTTGTCTATGGGCTCGGACATATAGGGTGTAACAACGAAAATGGAAAGTAGTTTTTTAGAAATACTATAAAAGGTATTTGAAAATTGTTTTCGCACCCATATTGATATTCCATAGGTATGTATTTCCAAATTATTTGGAAATATGCAGGGTGTTACACAATTTCGTGTTACTGCATAATTAAGGGCCACATATTAACTGGTGGTTATAGAAGTATAGAAAATTGATTTGATTTTATATTATCCATTGTTCTCTTGGCTGTTATCTTATTGACTGATGCCTCCTAGCTTTTAAGCTAGGAGACTGATTTCAGCATTTTAGAAGAATAGTTTGTTGTATTTTCTATCAGGTTGAACTCTCTTTAGCCACATAGATAACGGACGAGTCCATAAGACCTCATTAGTCTAAGGAGTCTAAGGAGCTACGTCATATACTAAGTGACATATAAATCCGAACACCCAGTTTGAATGGTTTTATTTTAATAAAATTTTGTATACTTAAGTACTTAATGAAGCATAATAAGTAAATGATAAAAATTTCAGAATGATTACACTGCTTTAAAGCCCTTTGACCTTTAATAATGTGTGGATGCACCCTGATGTGCTACGCATTCTCCAACGCGTCTAGACATGCTTCTGATCAGGTGGTCAATGTCCTCCTGTGGTATCTCATTCCAGGCAACCACCAACTCCTCTCGAAGTGCTTCTAGAGTCTGAGGAGGACGTTGCAAATTGAGCAATCTCCTACCCATCATATCCCACACGTGCTCAATTGGGGATAAGTCGGGAGATCTTGGTGGCCATGGTAACAATGTGACATCATTATGTTGAAAGAAGTCTATTGTAACTCTTGCTACATGTGGTCGGGCATTATCTTGTTGGAAAGTTGGATCTGCCAGGGTGTCAAGATGGGGTAAAAGATGGGGTTCTAGAACTTCGTGGATATAACGCTGCGCGTTCATGTTACCTCTGATGAAGATTAAAGGTGACCTGGAACAATAAGCTATAGCACCCCAAACCATAACTCCAACAGTGTGATGAACATGTCTTTCAACAAAAAACTGTGGATTCCTCCTTTCACCACGTCGCCTTCTAACCCTGGCACGACCATCGTGCATGCCTAAACAAAATCGAGACTCGTCACTAAAGACAATACTGTTCCATTCCTGATCCCAGAGTGACCGTTGTCTGCACCACTCAAGGCGATTACGTCGGTGTTCTCGAGTTAAACGGAGGACCCAGTGTGGCCGGTATGAAAACAAGCCAAAACTTCTCACTCGTCGGTAAACACTTCGCATGCCAATAGGTCTTCCGTGTTCTGCAAACCATTCATTTGCAATGGACCTGGTAGTGGAGAAACGGTCCCTTAAGGCCAATAATCTTAGGCGGCGATCTTCACGGTCTGTTGTTCTACGGCGGCGTCCAGTGCCCCTTGCTCTTTGCGTACGGCCTTCTCGAAGCCATGCCTGACAACACCTAACCACAGTGTCTACACTTCTTTGCACTCTAACTGCAATTGCCCGAAAAGAAAGTCCAGCTTCCCGAAGTCCCACTATACGGCCCCTATCAAACTCACTAAGTTGACGAAATCGTACAGGTCTCCGTACTCTAGGCATCGTAACCGATCGTAAAGGATGTCAAGAACCAAAATCCGCCAACATTGATTCTTTACTGCGGCTGAAATATTCATTTTTTTAGAGCGTTAGTGAATTAAAAAAAAAGCAGTATAAAAACCGGAATGTCCAACTGATAAGGCTGAAAATTTTTTCACTTGTTATTTACAGTAAGATAAATACATTCATCAACTTTTATTAAAATAAAACCATTTAAACTGGCTGTTCGGATTTATATGTCACTTAGTATATATGTGGTAGATCGAGGGACGAGGTATAAATAAGTCGATGGGTATTAACATAAATAATATATAGAATAGTATATCACTAAAGTTTCAAATTGCAAAATTTCCATGTGTATCTTTTGTTGTTAAAAATGAACGAAACTCGGAACACTGGAGTAATTTTGGAAGCTGATATCGAACATTGACATGAAACCAGGTAAAATCTCGTTACGCTCTATTTCGATTAGGAATATGGAACCTGTGTGCCCCCGCCTCCTCTCTCCCCAATCACGTCAATTACAGCGAAAAACTCACATCAGACTCATTTTCTGTTGTTGCTAACTAAACTCGACACAATGGAATACAGAGTGATAAGTCGATCTCTGCAGGTGAGTTGGAGAAAAGATGACTACCAGAGATTTCCCCTCTGACAACAACAACAATCTGTTAGATACAGTTTATTCCTACCAAAACCCAGTACTGAACCTTGACTAACCGAAAGCGGCGTAGCGCTCATATGGTTCTAAGAAAGATCCGTTCATTTTGGCTGGTCGGTGTCCAGATCGCCGAGGACTTGATCTGGCACGAACACGTCTCGTCAATAGTGGCAGCTGCTGGCAAAAAGCTAGGGCTAAGAAGTACTTTTCTCCACATGACCTCATCACTCTGTAGAAGGCCCAGATAGGACCTAGCCTAGAATACTGCTCACATGTTTGGGGTGCTGCCGTCCCGACTGCATTATCCTGTTTAGAGGAGGGCTGTTCGACTGATCGATGACTCTTCTCTAACTGTCAGTCTCTAAACCCTTTCGCACCGATGGGCCGTCGCCGATCTAACTCTCTTCTACCGCCAACGTGCTTTACTCCTCGGAACTTCCGGGCCTTCAGCCTCCCATCCCAACCGTCGAACTACGTTCATTCAGAACTGGCCGATACGACCGCTCCTATATTCCTAGGGTATCCCGATTTTGGAACAATCTTCCTAAGGAGGCTTTTCCCAGTTCTACTAACCTTTGACAATTTAAAAAACGGATTAGCAAAGTTTCTTTAGGCTTCCCAGAAACTCGATACAACGGGACCTTTTGTGACGCTGACAAAAAATACTGTTCATACTGCACCACATTGACCTGTAATCCGGGTTTAACAAAGCGCTGTTGAGGGTGATAGCTGAATATCGTAATGGCGCGAAACCAACGTGGAACAAATCGGCATTTTGCTGCAAAATGACATTTTTAGAACGATATGCGGCGCTGCAGACATTTGCGCCGAGAATGTGTTTTAAGATAACCGGATATAACCGCATTATATTTACTCTCAAGTTTTGAGCAAACCAGCAGTTTGTGTCATTTATAAAATTCTAGACAGCGACAGGCGACCGTATGCCAGACGGATATA